GTGAGCAATGGATTCCTACATCCCAGTTTCACCACATGGAGCAGTAAGAAACAAAACCAAGTCTACTGAAACCAATGATGGTGCTTTGGCAGGGAGAGATCCGAGTCCATTGCTTGGTTAGAAGCTGGAGGCCTTCATCTTGTGCATGGCTAATTGGCTGGCATTCTTAATAATAAGTCCACAAAGTGGCTTAAAACCTTGGGTTGTAATGCACCAGAGGGAGGAGGGAAGGGTGTGAAACGCAGTTTTTCAAAGCTAAATTGATAAAACAGTTCCCTGTGCAATTAAAAACCTGCACAGCTGAATAGCTGGCTTTGGAAAGCACTACCTGTGCAATTTATCTGGTTGGTTTATAAAGGGAGAGAAAATATCCAAGGACAGGAAAGGAATTTCAAGCACATTTCAACAATGCATCAAAACTATAGTACTTTTAGCATATCAAGATTTATTTTTGCTCTCCCTTTTGATTAGGGGGGAAGCAAGAAAAGGCATGTCAGGGCTGCATCTCCAAAGAAGTTTCCAAGAACAAATTAAACAAATTAAAGAGGGGATTTATTTAAAAAAAAAAAAGCAGCTGCATTTTTTTCCTGCCTGCCTTCCTTATCAACAGAGGGAAATTGTGAAGGCTCCAGTATCTCACTAAGGATGCTGACATTTTTTCCTAACTTTAAGACCTGCAACTACAGCTTATATAATGATTCTGAATTTCTATGAAGAGGGCTAGGAAAAAGACAGGTTCAACATGAATTTAAGCTCATATACAAGGAAGAAATGCTGCAGGAAAAACCACTTTGTTTAATCCTTTAAAAAGCAAATGCACACTCAACACTAACAGTACAGCCAAAGTGCCTCTTTACCTTCTGTTACCTCTGGCATCAACACCAGACCATGGGCTTTGCTATAGTTGATGGGGCACGAGGAGGGGTAAAGTAACCTGCAGGAACCAGAGGTGGCCAATGATGACCACTAATTAGTATCTAAGACCACTCAGATCTGTGCTTGCTGAGGGTACATGGGGAGGCTACAGCTCACGGTGGCGCCAGGACATTATTTTGCATGAGGCTGCAAGAACAGGTACACTTTAAAATGTTTAGTGTCATTTTTGCTCACAAAACATAATGAAAAATAACTCCTGTGCATGAAAAACAGACACTTTTAGAACCCATTTCTGAATTGACTTTAATTTCAATCCTAAATTTAAACACCTTTTAGTAGCATCTGAATTGACGTATCAGCATCTTAGTTTTATTTTGTGCAAGAGACTGAGATGTGCTTTGGAGAAGAATGCTGCAAAAAATGTAGAAAGGGAAGTTCATGGGGTTTTTATTCCTTTGACAAAATTGAGTCAGAAGGACTGCAACCTGCACTAATTTGGCAAACATTTTGAACAGAATAATTTTTAAAATTGCACTCAACTCAGCAAACTGTTTGATGAAGAAACTGGAAACACAAACAAGGCTTTTTTTGTGCTCAGGTGACTCAGGAGCATTTCAACTCCCAGTGAGTCCTCATGTCACTAAAGCATTTAATGCCACTTGACTGGCAGCATAACCCATATTTAGAGACATTCAGAACCCAGTTGTCATTTTGGGCATCTAAATCAATTTATCAGCTATAGACACATATCAAGAAGCACATATGTGTGCAAAACATCTTTTGTTACAGACTCAAAACCAGGCCCACTAACAGAACCGTGCTATTTCATGTTAACAAGTATGAACAATGCAAGCAAAAGCTCTAAATCCTTTGGGGGAACGGCCATTTAATTGCTCTTTTGTATAATGCAGGAGAACTCGGTTTATAACTAAAAGTTTTGGGTACAATAGCAACACACAGAAAAAAAACTTCAGGTGTCTGCAAGACTCAATCTGGATATATCTAGGATAACACTATGCCCACCATCAACAACTACGAAATTTCAGCAAAATGCTTGAATAAGGAGCACTACAGTGCAACACCCTACACAGATGGCTGGGGAGGGAGAGTGCCTTCAGACTCCTGGTTGGTTGGGTTGCTCTTTACCTATACTAAATATTCATATTTATTGAATATCCTCTGGAGGGCTTTATAAAGGAGTTTCAGAAGGTTAAAAACCCTGCTTCATGTCCCTTGTGACCTGCAAAATGAAGGCAGGATGAACTCATCCTACCCACCCACACTCATGTTTCACAGGGCTGGCAGTAACAACTCAAAACAACACATTTTCTGTTTAATCATTGTGCTAAATTATTGCAGAAAAAGTATAAGGTCTCTGATAGCACGAGGTGTAAGCTGCATGCTGCAGACCTTCCCGATGAGTTTAAATCGCTGTTTTAGTTGAACCCAGTTATGCTAGGCAGCACTTAACACAAAACACTGCGATGCCTTTAATTGGGCTAGTAAGTGCAACTGATGATAAATAATTATACTGTGGTCCTCAGGGATGATCATTAGTAGCCACAGGCATGGAGACCTAACTGGCCACATTCATCACAGTGCCCAATTCTGCAGTTCACAGGTATTTACCGAGGATGCGTTTGGTTCAGCTTTGTCTTCAACATTTGGGGGATAAAAAGCTCCCAATCCCCCATACATCTTTTAATACTACACTCTACTAATGCGTCGTCCATCTGACTATGGAGTTAAAGCATCACTGAAATAATTCTCCCTCCACTAAAAGAACTTATCACGAACACAAGACTGACAGTATGGTAGAAAAACTCCAAGTCACGTGTAAGCTACATGGTGACATGGGGGTTTAAGCACTTTCTAATTCCAGGCCAGTGTTGAAATCCCCTTGCTTATTCTTAGTTACACAGAAGCCTATCCTGCGTTCTGCACCTATTTTGTATCATCCGTTTCAACTATTTTTTTTATTAGTACATAATTTTTACAAAAAAACCTCTCTCATCCTAAGATACCAAGGTTAAGCCGAGTAAGATATCCTACATTTTTACTGCTTCTTTTACTGGAGTAATTTATCTCTTAATATTCCTAAGTCATAATGTAACTCCATTAGCACATTTAAGAAGTGCTAGGAGACGATCTTTTAATCATGGAGGTAACTGTTTATGATAGTTGTCTGTTGTTAATTAGTTCGCAAGCCTTACGCTTTGCTGAGGGTGCCCAGAGAGGACTCTTACAAACACAGATCTATCACACATGTACAAACTGGATTCTGCACATAGGCATACTGCTGCCACCTGAACGTAAATAAAATGCCCCAAATACTCGAGCTGCATTTAAAAGAGTTGTTCTAGCAAGGAACATTCTTTATTCTGAGTCTGAGGAACTGGAACATGTTACCAGGAGATCGCAACAGCCTGATTTAGCCATTTGATTCACTTTTAAAACAGCATTTGCCAAAGTACTCCTGTACCTTAGCACAAAACGCCCCTTAGTACAAAACATTAACTAGCTGGAGGCATCCCTTCTCTCCAGTAGATCAGAAAATATTGTTATCCCTAAAATTCTATTATTTGTTTTAGAATGTAAAATTTTTTAAAAAATACACCTAAAAAAAAAAAACGAACAGACCCCTGTTCAGTCTTAAACTAACTTGAATTTAATATAAAACTGTGTGTGTTCACATAGTTCATATAGTCTGTGTTCATTATTTTTAATCTGACTTGCTAAAGATGGAAAGGAGGGAAATCCAGCAGTTACATTTCTGTCTGGCAGCAGCACTTCAGCCAGGCCAACAAGCACACAGCTCCTGAGGAGCAGCAGCCCGTGCTGGCGCTTGCACACCGGGGTGCATGGAAATCTGGGGAAGGAAGGATTTAGCTCACAAAGAATAACTCCTGAGCAAACCAGGCTTCATCAGTTCTGCTACTTGTGTTTTGTTTTTCAGACTAAGTGTTAATCTCCAGTCCCACTGTCATTAGTACAAATAATCCAGTGAACACAGCAACAAAACAACAGTCAGTCACCTGCTTCAGTGGATCAAACCCCCAGACATTTCATCGGGCAAAGGCAAGTCATTATGGTATGTTTTTCCAGTGAGTCTTATGAGCATACCTTCAAAAAAAGGCATTTCAAAACTAACTCCTGCTGGTTTAAAGGGAAGCAGGATTTCAACCTCTGTGCCAAGACCCTCCATATTTTAACTGTGAGCACACAGCCTGTCTCCAGAGCCCTAATCTTCAAATCTATTGCCATAAAAACGAACATCTCACCCAAGTGCAACTGCCAGCACAGCAACAAGAGGAGACAGAAGCTGTGTATCACCCAACATAACAGATTTGAGCCTGAACCTTCCATGGCAGACAAAGAATTGGTAGAACCAGCTACATAGCTGAAAAAAATTTTATCCTAAGTGAACTAAGTGGGTTAACGCACTCTACCCAACAGTGTACAGGAGGATGATGTAGCTGGAACAGCCTTCTGAACACTGCCCAGTGCTTAAGCTAAAACCTCAAGTCATGAAAAAAAATCATTCTCATGAAAAAGGCATTCTCAGCCAAACAGTAAATAATATCACTACTAGCTCTGTATTAGTTTTCAAAAGTCCTGGGGACTTTCTGAACTTAAATCAAGATTTGACATATTTCGGCACAGTACACAATGACAATATGCCCTTACACTGCCAGATAAACTGTGGCAGAGGAGTGAAAAATGCTCAAAATGACACATCAGCAGCCACGAACAAGAACTCAGGAGCTCACAGTTCTCAAGTTGCTCAATCAACCAGAGCTCTGCTTTGAAAGCAAACAACACAGAAGGCAAGCTGAAAATGGGAAATCATACTGTATAAAGATGTCTTCAGACTATTTAAGCTTCATTACACTCTTCAGTTATGTTTTGACTCAGTCTACAATGTGTCACTTCCAGCAGCACATCTCTGTCCTAAATGTGAAGTTCGTAACTTCACAAACACTTCATGTCTTGTGTATTTAACAATCATCGCAAACAAGAAAAGCCTGGACTTTGAGCTCATGGCTCTGAAAGTCATCGTTAGTTTTGTTAGCAGGCATTTGGCTCAAGGTACAGAATAGGGAAACAAAAAACAAGACACTCACATGGTGCATGGAACATCACTAGCACAGATGAATGATCTTTCATAAACTTGTCGAAGTCCTCATCAGTCAGGTGATAAACTACATTTTCTTCATCTGCCCAGGGAGTCTCCGGAGCCTGTGGCTGAGGTGCCTGTGGGCTACAAGACATACAGACACAGCTTGAAAGCAGCTCTCTGGTACTAAGCAGTCATTTTGGCAAGCTGGACTGCAAGGAACCACTCTGTGCAGATGTCCATATATGTATGACACACTGACCCTACTGAACAGCTTCCATAATAGAAAATTATGGAAAATTATAAGCACTGAAACTCAGATGAAACTAGAGGAGGAATCAAAAAATCCACAAGAAGCTCATGAGGACAGATCAGCAATGGAAGGGGATGGAATGAGGAGATAACCAGCCTACTTGGTTATTACATCATAGAAGTCATATGCATTTTCTTTCACCCTCCTCAGGAGAATTCTCCCTCTCTCACAGCATTCACACTCTGTAGTTCACAGGAGCCATTGCAACAGAAAGAAAAGCAGTGAGCAAAACCAGCCAATCTAACCAGAATACTGACAGCATGATTAGGGCTAGCAGGGAATGAAGGAGGGTCAGTGTCAGGACCACAAGCTAGCTACAAAGACTACTTGCCCAAAAGCATACGGTTTTACCCTGAACAACCCCTGTGACCTGGGGAGGCATCATTATGTCCTTACTCAGCAGTGGGCTTGTAGGCCTAATTCAGCAAAGCTACTCAACTGCATGCTTAACCTAAAAATAAGTGACATGTCCTAGTGACTTCACTGTGATTGCACATGAGTTTAACCATCTTCAACGGATCAGAGCCAGAGAAACTGCTCAAGGACACAGTGCCAAATCTGCGAAGTGGACCCAAGGTCCTCTGGACCAGCTCGGTGCTCAACATCTCACTAAACAATTGTTCTTGGCTTTTATTAATGTACATTAAAAAGACAATTTGGCAGATGTGAACTAAACTATGCTAATTACATTTTATTTATTAAAGCAGTGTTCACATAAAGACACCCAAACATACAAACATTTGGAACCAGACTTTGAAGCTATTTTATCATTGCCAGTTATAGTCATGAGCTCCAAATAACCCCCCAAATTCCTCAAATTCTTTGGCAAAGTACAGGTCTGGATGTGACCCTATCTCTGGCGAAAGCAGATTTATCATTTTTTATTAGAATGTATTGTTGTGTTAGTTGCCTGGAACAAGGAATGGCAAACGCATGATAACTCATTTATCCTGCCTTGCTCATTTCTAGGCTGAAAGCCTAGTTTGATAAAAAAAGCAGGACAGACAGAGATTCAGATGGCAATGGGTATGGATCCAAGAATATTAACCAATCCATGCAAGACTGTGATGCACACCTCTACTGCTGCTTATATGACAAACAAACCAAGAAATAAACATCAAAGCAAAGACTGGAGCTGCACTTGGCTGAGAGAGAGTCAGGTCACCATCCACAAGAGTTTACCCTCTTAAAAATTAGCAGACAATCAGTTTGCGTATTGTCAAGCCCGTAAGAGACCAATAACCTGCAGGTAACCTGGCTGAGCAAAGGCTTTCTAGAAAACACCATGACACTTAATGAACTTGGAAAGGGAGTTGAGTAGGGACAGCATGATGAACATGGACATAGTGTCTACAAAGCACTGGCAGAACATGGTGTTTAGCAAGGCCTGGCGTGACCTATTTCATTAAAGCAGGGCACAGGAGGTTTACTCAAATGGCCCAATTTAAAATGCTGTGCATGCTAATAAGCCTATACAGGAGTTGGTAAGAAGCACCTCAAGGCCAGGAGGAAGCAACAAGCACATTCTAAAATGTCATTTAAAACTGAGACAAGGCACATCTAACGCCCGAAAACCAAAAATAGGATGATAGAAGTCTGGAGGAGTTATCAAGAGCTAATTCAATTAAGAACAGAGAACAACTTCTTGATTTAATTGAAAGTCTGGTGCTAAGAAAGAGCCCAAGAGGAATCCATAAAAACAGCAAGACAAACTAAGAGGCTACTGAAGGCAGCACGAAACTGTCTGGCTTGCCGACCATCCAGACTGATACAGCTGTGTACCAGATTAAAAAAAAAAAAAGGAAGAAACAGAACTGTGGTGTGTGCAAGATAGCATCTCTTGCGTTAACACTGCTGCACATTGGAATAAGGCTGGATGATGGTTTCTCTCTATGTCTCTTGAAAACATCTGCAACTCTATAAGATAGTAGCCCATGCCTATTAGGAAGATAAGAGAGGTTAAGTATCTGTAAGACTGATGCATTAGCACACTTCAGCATAAAAAAGCATCACCTTCAATAAGTAATAAAAAAAAAAGGTGTTTTTCTTTTCTTTTTCTAGCAGCTCTTGTTCTGAGAGGAAAGAACACTGAAAACTTTTCCTTTCAATAATTTTAATAATTTTAACCTTCATTAAATTATGTAATTTCCTCACTCCAAAATCTGCATAGATCAACCAGTAAGATTTAGAGGAAAAAACAGAGAAGAGGGAAGAGAAAACAGCTCCTTTACTGCAGCGTGTACCTAGTGTCCACAAAAAACAGGTCATTTCACATGGCTCAAAGTTTGCTGGATTCTCTGTTGAGAATCTGATGATAGTATAAGAGCACGTTGGCTCCCCTCGCCGTGGGCTGCCATGGCCACCCTGGCACTGCCGTGCCCATGCTCTGCAAAACATCATCTTGCATTAGGCTGACTTCCTGACACAATTTTAGTATTATACTATCCTGAAATACAGCCTATACGCCCTGCAGCTATCTAATTACACTTTTTGGCTTCCTAGAGCTATTGCCATATCATTGGACTACTTGTACTGCAGATTCCTCAGAGAAATATAATGTTATGCACATAGCAGACTTACCCCAAATGCAGCTTTAACTGTAAGATCAATTACGGGTAAAATTTAAGCAGGCATAATTTCTCAACGTGGTTTCTTTAAAGATTGTATATTATACAAAATGGGCAAGAAAACCACTGTTCAGATCATCTTTTGGGAAAGTAATAAGCATGCACTAATACTAAGTGAGGACAAACAGCTGTCTTCAGCTCTGGACTGCTGAAATATCAGCCAAAGCCCACAGTGGCTTGTTAGCAGAGATTATCATTGGGAAGAGCTTGCAGCTGTTCTGCTTTGCCTCTAGTAGCTGTGCTCACTTGCTGTCACAGCACTGATATAAAGGCACTGCATATTACAGGGATTATCTGGATATTATGTGGGCAGATGGGGGGAAAAATCACCCCAAACATCTAATGTTTCACATGTGGTAGCCAAGAGATAACCACATCTTTGCAAAACTGAAAAGCATAATAAAGTGCAGGTGATGAAGTCATATCCTTGCTCCAAGGGCTGATCATCTCCCCAGCACTGCTGAAGCTGCCATCTTGATCATTCACATCTGATGGCTTAATGGACTAAATGAGGCTTAAAACTATGGCAAAAATCCCCCTCTTTGATCCACTGGGCAGTGCTTGCCTGCAGTATCTGTGCCTCCTGAGGCTAACAGGAACGCTGCTGCCACTTCATCTGTGGGTTCCAATCCTGAAGCACCCAGCCTGCCACTGCTGAAGACCCTGGGCTACCTGCAACCACATCCACGTTCCCAGCACAGCCCCACTGCTGCAAAGTCTGCTACGCCCTACTATCACAATAGTTTTCAACTGTCTGTTCTTCCCTGTGCATTTGATTTATTACTTTCATTCAAGTTTACTTCTGTGGCTGCAGCAAACAAGGGAGGGTTACAAAGACATCACAATGCCCAAGAGCCAGAGCTAACTGTTAAAGGTTTCTCCATCACCAAGTATCTCAGGTCTCTCCGGCTGCTCTATCAGCTTCACTGACAATGTGCTGATTTGCTCTAGCTGAAAGGCAGCTATCCACACACACACTCATATACTTTTCTGTCTGTCTCTCTCTCAGCTGCTAGTCCCATAGGCTCATTCAGACCCCAAAATATTTATGGCTGCAAATAGCTCTCTTTAGGTAGAATAAAGTGCTTTCAACATCACTTCACGTCATGCCATGAAGCACAGACTTTGTAAAAATGAACAGTAACCTGGGATGCCTTGATCTCCAGTTTATCTCTGCGAGACACTTTAAAGGCTCCAGCTGAAGGCCAAAGAGCCAATGAGAACTGTGCACTTGGTATACATTTTTAATGAAACAACAAAAGTCAGACCTTGTGCAAGTTATTAAGTTCAGGCCCTCAATATCATTGGAAATTTATGTTGGCATTTTTAACGAAACTGAGCTGTGTACATTTGCATTAATTTTGGCCCACAGACAGTCTCCCATTACAGACGAACCGCAGTGGCGAAATGCAAGGCATGCATGCTAAAAACCAAACATGAGGCAATCTCTCTGTACTAGCTTAGCCAGTCTCAGCAGGGTAGTTTTGTTTGCTCTTCTGAGCGGAGGGAATGAGGGAGAGATGGCTGTTCCTAAACCATTACATTCTGTAAATAATGAAGAATACATAAAAAGGTGGAGTGCATGAAGTTCAATGCCTTACTTTTTCAGCCATTCTGCTATATCTGCCGCAGTAGCACCATAATTCTCAAAGTGGAACAGGAACTTTCCTTTCCTGTTAAAGCAACAAAACCAGGTTTAGTCTTTGCCCTGGAAGAGAAGAACATGCAATTATAATTGAGTGTATGATTTCTAAAGTAGTAGCAAAACATCACTGACTCAAAATAGCAGATTGTAGGATATCCCCGGATGTTGTATTCTTCCTTAATCCTCTCAAATTCAGCAGAGTAAACATTCATCCCTGCAAGAACCTGAAAAAACAGAGCATAACTGTATTGAGTCTTATAATACAGCAGGAACGTTACAACTTCTTTTAAAGATTTAAGTAAAAATACAAAGCCCTGGGCAGATTCTGATTTCATTCATACTGCTGTAATGTAAGGGGCTCTCTGTAAAAGGCAGGGAAGGTTTTCTGATTTAGTGCAAGAGGAAACAGCAATATTTGAGTCTAGTTCACAGAAAGCACACACCAATCAGCTTGTCACTTCCTCCTTGCTGGGGAAGCATCTCCATTTCTTTCTATTCACCTAGTAATAGAAACACCTAAAGGGAATTCTCTCGGTCACATTACTTCTGCTCTTTGTATTTGTATTTTAAGCTACAAGCCTAACTAATTTTTTGTGTGTGTTTTTTTTCTTCTGAAAGGACATGGCTTAGTTCAACATCAGCTAGGACCCAAGAAGTTCCACCCTCACCTCCCCAGTTTCCACTCCAGCAACTAACTTATATCTCAGTTAATGTCCAGAAGCTCTAACCAGCAAAGCACTTGCAGGATCCCAGTTCAAAAATGTAGCTACTAAAGGGCAAGGGGCAAAAATGCACTTACTGAATCAGCATTACTTTGAAGTGAAAGTAAAACCTGCCCTATTTGCATGCGCCCAGGAAACACCACATGGAATTTATATGCCTTAAATTTCTTAGCTTAACTCTCATCACAGCCTGTCAGTCAGATAAGAATTAACCTTGTCCTACAGATATCAAAACAGGGGCACAGAAACATAGTAGCCTTTCAGACTAGCAAGTGAAACAAAAAACCTCTCCCTCCCTTTCCTTACCTCTATCTCAACCATCCTCCATCCCAAGAGCCCTTCACCCCAAGCTTCAGGCTCAGGGCTCCTGTGACTTGTCCTGCACCCTGTCCACCTGTCTTCCAGAAATTTCCAACCTGGGGCTGATTCTGAGTTTCTGTGGGTGTCAGATTCACACAGAGGTCATTCTGCTGTCAAACCTTCAACCAGCAAGTTGTTGAGATACCGACTCATGATTAACTTAGTTGAATGGCATTGATGGCTAAATAATTTTAGCAGTAGGGTCTTAATTCAAACCCCTCCCTCTTCCTACACCAAACCCAGGATTTTCTCCTTCCAGATGAAATATCACATCAGAATTTAATACCAGGTTCCTGATGGAAAGCAAACTGCAGAGTAACCAAATGTGCTCAGAGCCAGCATTAAATCTTAAAGCAGAAAATCTTCTTTTGAAGGTCAACCTTTTCTAAAAATGTGCTGGAAAGAAGGAAAAAAGGTAATTTGTTTTCTTTCCCCTACCTTGAGAAAAGATACAGGAAAGCTAGCCGAGAAGACTACAGAAATAGGGCTTACACTGGCTGGCCAAGTCTCTTTGAATTTTGCTTGTAGTTCCAACAACCACATTGACTTAATTCACATGAGATTATCTAGACCCAGTTCTCCCCTTACCTTAACCTCTAAGTTACCACTTGAGGGTAGCTAAATGCAATAGGATCAAAATACAGCAGTTGCTTTACAAAGTGAGAACCAGGTTCATTAACCAATTCCTTCAAACACCAGCCTAACAGATTTCACATTTGCTGTGAACTTCCAGAGGATTTCCTAGGTCTTAAATGGGCATTCTCCACCCATCTCAGATACTCTGTTACAACTTCACTGTGTCCACCCAGTCTACAGTGATTGAAACAAGTCAATAACTTGGATTCCTTCTAGTGTTCATACATTATATGAAAGATAATTAGCAAAAAGCCTATTACTATGGGATTCATTTTTAATGACAACAGTAACAGCTTTACTTGGCCTATAATCACAGAATTATTCCATATCAGGCTCTCAGGGGCCATCAAAATACACCTACTACCAAAAGTCAGGATCCTCCCTCTATATCTAAGCTGCTCCTGCCAGATGTTTAGCTAATTTGCTTTTAGTGAACAACTGACTGACCCTGACTTCAATTTAAGCCCATTACCTCTTGTAATAACCACAACAGACATTAAGATCAGTTTGCTCCTGGCACCTCTACAGTGATATTTGACATATTTCAACACTTACCTGCTCTCCACCAAGCTGCCTATAATCTAAACCAACTCTGAACCTTCTGTCCTGGTTTGAGCTAGAACAGAACTAATTCTGCACATTGATTTTACTTTCCAGCTAAGTCTCTAAAGTGACTGCACTTTTGGAAGTTAACAGCATATTTTTGCAGTCTCTCATTTACTCCCTTTCTCTTCCCCTTTGGGAAGGGAGAGGGGTTAATAGAAAGTGTCTGCCACTCATCTAGTGGCTGGCCCGGCCCTAACCTTTGACACCTTCCTAGCTGGCCATGTCTTCTGGGCTTCTGACCATTCCTGTTCTACAGTGACATCTCCCTTGCTTCAGTTTTCTTGACAGAATTGCTCCAAAATTGCTATCTTACACTGCCACTTGACGCCTTTGTAGAGCCAAGTTTAATGAACGGATTAAATAAAGACTTCCTTCTATTTGATATCTGAAATCTGTGTACGAATTATGCTTCTGAAGTCCCATATTTTTGCCAAAACAAAAAAAAGACAAGCACCAAAGGAGGAAAGTGTATGCTCAAACCAGTCTTTACTGAGAAGAGCATTCTGGCACACTCATGAAGTCTATGGGCATTAAGTAGCTGCTGAAGTGCTTTGCTGACCACCAGTTCCTCCCTGCACTTGGTCCATAGTGCATTGGTGACAGTCACTCACCAGAGCCCAGTCTAGCCACAAACCACGGGAATCTCTCCTGCCAAGGATAAAACAAGCCATCCTCTTCTGATTCAGAGCCCCTTTTTTTCCTTCTCCACTTAGTGTAATGGAATTTCAGGAACTAAATTGAACGTAACCCTGAAAACACCAACCTGTCTTCCTCTCAGCAACAGTACTGGGACAAGAAATAACCAGTTCTCTAGAGAAAACAGCAAACAGGGACAGGTACAGTTCACATTTTCATGACCTAATACTAATAATATACTTCATTTTCCTGCCAATAATCACTTCTGAGCCTGGCACATCCTGACAGCTAATGATAGGTCAGATTAAAAGGCCAAACCTTCAGCTCATCCAACCCAATCAAACTTTCCAGCAAAGTCTGATCTGGAGGTCAACATTGCTCTAAGGTACCCCATGGATTATTTACAATGGGTAGAGCACAGTTAATTTTCGAAATGTCTGTGTACACATCCCACTCAGGAAGCAATTTAGGTCAAATTTAGATGAACAGATGAATGTTCATGACAGACATGGGTAGCAGGGGTATAACTGGACTTTCCTCCAAAGTGATCCTGTACTAAAACCACTCCAGGGCAAAAAGCACCTCTGTCCTGAGCTGCATCAAGCACAAGCACTGCCAGCGTCCGTGCTGTGCTACAGCCCTGGCACTCAGCTACGCAGGATTAGCCTGGATCTACAGAAACTGTGAGGAAGGAAATAAACAGCAATCGATCTGGAATTTACACTCTCACGTTTCAATTTAATAAAACGAGCTGCACGCGGACAAGGGTGGGAAAGTTAGAGGAGAACACAGTGTTCTGCAGTGTGCCTTCTCTGTGCACTGCCTTCTGCAGATGATTCTTTCAGTTCTTAATTCCTGCCCGCCGCACAGCACATGCTCTACCACAGGAGATGGCATTAGAGTGATGTCTGGCTAGACAAAAATGCTCTTGAAATTACCTTCAAGGGTTCTACCATGTCCTAAATAAATCTGAAAAACTCCCACTCATTTCAGCCCTAAGCAAACAAGGATTTAGAGAAAACACTTCTGAAGAACAACCAGTTGGGAGAAGGTTGGGGAGTCTGCCAGCACTCGGTGCGTATGAGCAGCAATAGCCAGAACTGCCCCAGCAGTGAACCAGAGTGCTGCTGCTTTTTCTCACCACACACCACCTCTCCCAAGGAAACCTGTAACCTCAACAATGAATGATCTAACAGGTAGGATCAAACCAAATCCAGCTAAAGCCATGAAACAACAAACCTATTTCTTTGCCACTCATGTATTATTGGTATCATAGAAATTATATATTAAGCACATTAAAACCTTGACTGGAGAAGTTCCTTTCACTTGCTTAAAGAGATCAATAGGCCTTACTAGTACAAAGAGGTAACTAAATAATTGTGACTTCTGTTGATGGATTTTATTACAGTCAAAACTTACTTTCATTTCAATCCGGTATGAATGCTAACTTTGTGGACAGAGTTCTAGTAAAACTGTAAGATTTTATTAATGCTTATGCTCAGTGGCTAGGAGGAAGATCAGCAGCTAATGTAAGGAAATCCCCCTCCTGTGACACTGTGATTCTCCACTAAAGAAGTGGATTAATTACTACTGTAAGGGCATCTTAACTCTGCTAAGAAACATCAGGTCAAAAAGCTGATCAAACCTATCATGGCCAACATTTCTTTATCTTTACCAAAATAAGCTCAAAAGGACTGCAAACTCATCAATTAGATGCTAAACATAAACATAATGGTGTCAGAGTCCATTTTTCCATCACAAAAACTAAACAGGATCTAAAGGGCAAATGAGTTAACACTTCATCCTCCAAAATTTTAAAAATAAAAACTAAGAAAGAATCCTGAAGGAAACTAGAACACAGTCATTCATTTCTGGTTTGTTTCAAATTGCTTAAAAATTTCCACTTGGATAAATATTTGTGGATTTAAATATACAAAAAAAGTGTTAATAGGATTTTTAAAATTTCATATAAATCTTCTCACTTACATATTTACCCTTCAGTTCCGAGGCTGCCTGTTGATAAGATGGCATCATCCTCTTACAAACACCACACCCTGATAAAAAATAAATTGTGTAAGTAATATGCCAACAACTCTATTCAGCCTGTTCTATAGGTTCTGTTCCAAAGCCTATGAAACAATGTTTTTACACTAAAAAAAAACCAAACAAAAACCACCAAAAATGCAAACCAAAATTCTTTATCTGTTTCACAAGGAGGTTACTTCTTACACACTATTTTTGCATGTTTGTCATGCTATTGATTTTTGTATTCATTTTCTGTCCCAGTTTTGGAAAAAATAACAACATTTTATATTCCTCAGGCTCTGAGTTGAGACCAGAGGGCAACGTAAGATGAAAATCGTATATCAAAAGTCAACGGAAGATGTTATGCTTGTGAACTCACATAAAAAGCTTTGTGAATTCCAAGTCTTTAAGGGAGGAGGTACTTCAGATTCATCCCAGCTTAACAAGTCTTTTAAATTAATTTGATAATAATTTCCTGAACACTTTAAACAGACATCAAAAGTTACGCAGTTAATTGAGAGGATGTAACTCAGAAGGAGCAACAGCCCATGTTAGGCACAGTACCTTCATGTGCTGAGGAAAATACAAACTGCAGGTGAGGAAGACTACTAAGGTATAGTCAGAGTGTGCTAAGAGCCATTTAATGACACTCTGGAGCACTAAGCAGATTAGCAGTAGATCACGTTGTAAGCAGCAAGCTTCACTCCTGCCAAGTAAAATACGTGCATGGACATGGAAGGGGCAGGAGAAGAGGCAGCACGTAAGAAAGGAAGCTGCAGCCAAGCACTCCTGACACTTATTATGGAAGCTCTTGGGTCCACCATGGGATAGTAGTCAACATTTTTGTAGGAACTGTTTTTGCAGCCACCAGTTTAGGACCACATCAGCATGCCTGGTAGGAACATCCTTAACTCGGAGGAAAGAGTACTCTTGTTTCTGTGGTCTTTCCACCTCAAATGGCCAGTGAGGTTGTTAAATTAGTGCTGGTCAAACCGATGACTTCTTAGTGGGCACAGACCACTCATTTGAAGCCCACTGAGGTCTTGTAGCTTCATACAAACCACTGGACAGACATCAAAAGATACAAGTTGTTAACACTGTCTTCTGGATCCTCTGTTTCTTCTCTCTTCAGCAGCCTCAGGCTCCAAACTCCCCCAGTCATCAATATCCTGCTCTTCCCCACTTCAACCTCTTACCACTCCCTTCGGGAGCACAGGCACAGAGCATCCTCCTCCACCCAGCCATCACCCTGTTATCCTTCCGTTTCCAGCTCTGCTGCTGCCTCAAAGTCACTGCTCCCAAATCCACTTCAGTACAATCTCTCTTGCCCAAGCATTTCTGGATTACACTGTTCAGCATGCTGTCAAGTCACATATATCCATTTTTAGGTATAAAAGGGTAACCTCAAAACACTAATTTTCTTCAGCTCTTTCTTCTTGTATTTTGTCAGAAAAAGGGGACTTAATTAAACATATCTTAGGTTTTCCACTAGTTAACACCTCCATTTTTAAAGTCGTGTTCTAAATGATGTTATAAATGGCTCTTTTTTGTTGCCAAATCCAGACTGTATGCTGCAGGAGTCGTCTTTGACAGTAAACTACAAATAAATCTGAATGTCTACAAGTATACCTGATTTTTCATATTTAGTGCTGTCTGACTTTATAATAAAAGTCCAAAAGTAGCATGTTTGGTCTCCAAATAGCAGGTAATATCTTCTAAGAAAAGCATGACTTTGCTCTGAGTCATTTTACCCAGACCAAGCGTTCCTGAAATATTAAAGAAACTACATTTAAGTTTGCAGTTGCTTTCATCTCCCTCATTATGCACTGGTACATAATGAAAGAGCTCATTTCCTATGAATCTGCCACAATGAATCTAAAGCCCTTGCTTCCAACAAAGCAGAGAAATAATGCAACTGTCTTCCCTGTAGCTTCCCAGACAAAGCCTCTGATGTCCTCTCGCGCCCATGACCTCCCTCAGTCACCCCTTACAAGTAAAGAAAAGCAGAATTTCCTTTAGTAGCCATCCCTGATTTGCTGCTCCCAGTTATGAAAAGTAACACCTCTGTGTAACCAGTAACTTCAGCTGTCGAAAGCCAATATTTTAATGCAACTGCTGGATGCAGTCTGTCTCCAGTAACATGAGTAAGTGAAGAAAAATTGGACAAGAACCAAGTCAGAAGGTCTGGTATGTTAAATAAAAGATGAGTGAGTTAAGAATGGTGAAATCAGAGGGGGGGAAAAAAAAAAACCACACCCTTACAAGTAGGCTTCCTTCACAGCAGTTTAGAAAGCAGCAAAAGTATTACAGCACTGAAGAATAGCAGGTGTTTTGCCACTTCAAAAGAAGAGAAGCTGGAAGGAGAGTTTCTGGGGGAACCGTTCAAAGAGAACGGATGGTTAGATAAGGCACATTTCAGGAAGAGATTCGGTTGTGGAAAACAATTATTCATGATAGAGGTAAACTGTGAAAGCACTCTGCAGCTGAACTCTCCCCCAAGGGCCAAGCTGCAGGCAGAGCAGGCGTGTCATCTCCCGCTGGTGCTAAGGTGGCAGCAGCAACTGAGAGCCACCACGCCCCACGCTGGGCCACACAGGACCATCCTGCTGCCGAGTCTGAAGGCACAGAGCTGCAACTAATTTAATTAAACGGAAAAACATTCTCCTAGTGATGCATCAGACTACGTCTTGGGCAATTCTGGTCATCCTGACAGTACTCAAACGAGACTAAAAAAGGCAGAATAGCATTTCAGGCAGTAATTATAAGAATAAATACACTGAGAAACACCAGATAATTCTGCCACGGGGCACAGTTTTAAGGAGAATCTGCTAGCAAATTGCCAGGGGCACCTAACATCAATTTCCCTATCAGGGCAGCACTGAAAGGCTTTCCTAGTCCCATGTTCACTCCTTTCTTCTGGCTCCTCTGCTTTCCATATAAGCAACAAATCTGTGCAACACTATTTTGTGTTAAAGAGCCTGAAAGCTTCTCACGTACCAGTCACCAAGAAACACAAAAAAGCAGCTGTAAATCGGCAAAACTAAGGAACAACTGGCCAATGCAATGACAATTTAGCAGCAATACAAGGTCAAAGTCACAAAAGAAATGCAAAGACTCCCATGTGTTCCTGCTGACCACTCTGTGAAATTCCAATTTTATGCAAGTTACTCCTGCCCATGTGGGTCAGAACACCCAGAGTGCCTCCTGGAAGGATCACTGCACTGTTCCCTCTGTCTGCAGTTAAGGAGAACAAATATGGTTTTTTTAACTCCATAGTCTCCTCGGGAGATCTTTTGCTTATGTGGAACCAACTTGTCTTATGCTATGGCCCAAACTGCAAACATTAAAAAGGTATGTGCCTTACCCACTTGCATTTACAGCTCCATACAGGCCAGAGGGCTAGGCACTCTCAGACAGATGTATGAACACTTAGATACTCAGCATAGTGCTTCTGTCTTGTACAACACAAGTCTAGAAAGGACAATGGGTAAAGGAATTTCACGAAGCAGCTGCTTAAAAGAACAATGAGCAAGAGTTATTATCACAAGAGAGAGGCAAGACTAGGAAACAAGTGATGGGCAACCAGGAGAAAACTGAGGACAAACAAGCAAAACACAAGGAGTTGAATGACAAAGGTGGGACCAGATAGTACTAGTGAAGCACAGGTGAGGCTTCTAGTCAGACTTGGACACCTCTCAGTGGAGAAGCGAGAGGGAGGTGGCAGGACATGAAGGGTTACTTACATGGGGCATAGAACATCATCAGAAGAGGTTTGTCTTCCTTCTTCAGAAGTCTTCTCAATTCCTAGTGAATGAAACAAAATAAGACCAACTCTATACCCAAGAACACTGCTTATTATTTGTGTTACAACTTTCAAAAGTTAATATATGTATTCATAGACTATAGGCTCATTTATATCAGGGAACAGAGGTCATCTCTCCTAACAGACAGGTCTTGAGTTTCTTCTCCTTGCTCAATTTTAACTTGAAGGAAGATGACAAAACTTGTTATAGATTCAACTATCTGCTAAATATCCTAGACTGATATTTTGATGAGTTGTGCAAGTTGAATGGCTTGATTTATTCTCACTACAGAACCCCCAACTGGAAACTTTTTCTTCCCTGACTCATCCCAAAAAGCCATGCTCTAATTTTCAAAGTCAGACTCAGTAATGAACAAAACAAGTTCAGTTTCGCACTATGAAACCTTGTTGAAGCTACAAGAAGCCATGAGAAAAGACTTTTCAGTACCATCAGGATAAAGAAACTAGATGAAGTTTTTAAATTTAATGCAACCCTTGGAAGGCTTGTAATAGAGTACAGAGGGTGAACATTAAAAATTAAGCTTCCTACAAAAACTGAATGTCAAAATAACTGCTTCTAATATTAAAAATGAAAGCTAGAAAATTGAAAAGGCCCTTTATGAAATACCAGCTAGAGTCAAATCAATTAAATTTTTAAAAATCTATAGACTAGAAAACGAGTACAAAAGACCAAGCTGATTATATCAGAAAGAATGCAATGGGAAGTTCTGTGGTGGCACTGGGTTTTTAAGGTAGCTTCACTGTATTCGCTGCTTCCCCACTTAACACCAAGAGGACAGTTACTGTACAAGGTTAAGTCAAGCAAGATCTGGATCCCGTTCCATCCTGCTCCAGGCTTCCTGAGATGACCTCAGGCACATGAAGGATTCCAAGGTTTAATGACAACCTGTAGCTGTAAGAGGAGCGTTTTACCTCCTACTTGCATCCTGCAGTGATTGCATCTTGCAAGCTGCTACACTTCTGGGACAAACAAGTCTCTTCCAGCACACCATCCACTACGCTTGGATACTTGCCACGTAGCTGGCAGACTAGTACCATGAACACATGCAAGGAGAGGAGGATGGGAAGCAGGAGACTTTACTCTACAGTTGCCACAATCCACACACTTTGTCAAGTCACTTAAAACAGTTCTGGTGCTTTAAATCTCCCTTTCAAAGAAAGGAAAGAATGGTGCTTCATTTTGAGTTAACACACACATGCTCTTCACTCCATGTATTTATAAAACATACAGAACATCTATATCCAGCTAATGTACCTTTTCACTGTCAACATGCACAACATCTTTGGCTTCAGGATCCTCCTCCCACAGTGGAGCACCTTCTGGATCCTTAAGAAAGGCCACCATAGACTGTAATAAACAGGAAAAAAGCCTTTAAAGCAAAATGAATGGAAACCATGAGACATCCAATCTCAAATCCATGCTGTCATGCAAACCCTATCTACTTAGTGTCTTTGCTTTTCTGCTCATACACTCACCTGCTCTAATGCAGATGAAGACAAATGTACTATCACCGAACCAAGCGAAACGCGGGTGTGTACCTTCCTCATTACTGATATCCCAACTTAGTTTCCATTTCCACTATAAAATTGGGGAAACCAGAGTGGAAGTAGACCTGCACAGAGACAGCAGCTTCAACGACCCTTCAGAGAGCTCCTTCAGTGGTATTAGATCTGCAATACTTCCACAGCTATTCCCTGGCTTAGCAGGAAAGATTCCTCTTTATGTAGAGGTCAGGTTCCCAGGTTCTTCATCATATCTGAGTAACCTCTGAATCAAATAGGACTGGTTGGAAGGCACACTGGTACTTGCTGTGCACAAAACCAAAGAACTCCACACTTCAAGATCAATCTGCTTATTTCATAAAAGGAAGAATAATCCACCAGTAGTTCCCTCTATGATCCATCTATGTAGAAACTACTCAATGGATTTCCAAGTAGTAAGAAAAAAATGCAACAGGAGAAGTAGGAACTGAGATGCCCTGATCCTGCAGCTCCCATATTCAAGCTGAGTACATATGCACACATACTTTGTTGCTGCTTTATCCAACTGACACGCAACCAACTACCTGTTTCAGCAGAACACAGACATTCTTTTTATCATAAGGAAATACTCTCTGATGGTTCTGATTTCAGCCTGAGCCTGAGGGAAACTCCAGCCCTCCAAATCAATGAGATGCTCTCCATGGATTCCAGAAGAGCCACACTGCCCTCCGTTGTAGCTGTACATAGAAGCACAGGCTTGATCACTGTTATCCTCGGACGTCTGCGCTCTAGGAAACATAATACTTGGTATTCTGTGTTCATTCACCTCTCAGACTGACCCAATTTCTTTCTCTGTGGCATTCCTTGTAGCTATGCATCCACTCCCAGACAGGATCTCTGCCACACCAGTAATGTAGTGAGGTCCATGAGGAGCTTCCTTCAGTGTAAGAATGAGTGGATGATGCTGCCACAGCACAAGTGAATTTACTTGGATTTGGAGCAAAGAAAGGTTTCATTAAAGCCTTTTTCAGTCGTTTTCAGGGATATTTTGCCAAGGCAGCTCAAGACTGAAGAGCAGAGCCGAGTATATACTAACATACACCAAGAATACTCACCTAAAAGCCTAGGTCTGTACTCTACCTTCAAGAACAGGCTAGCAACACACCCAGTGACACATGATGCTGAAAATCTCAGACACTTTTGCCACCTCTCTGCCTTTGGTAGGGCTGCTCTGGTACAACATCCCAACAGCTTATCAACAGATAGTGGAGCTCAGCTCATTTTCCTGCGTCTCTGTTGGTACTGCAAGGCTTGGGAGGATTCAGAGCTTAGAATCTCAAGGCTCAGAGATTCATAGCAGGATCCATTTGTTGCATTTATGTTTCTGTCTACTTGCACAGCTAATATTGAAGAGATTCGTCAGATGGCGAAAGGCAGAATATAGTAGTCACTAGACAACGAGCAAAGCCTTTAATGTACACAGTAAGAAGACTACGGGGTGAGGTAGTAGTGTTGGGACCACAAACACTTCAAGGAAAAGAAACTTGTTTTAATATGGCATTCACAAAGAAAGGAGGTAGCTAAGAAGAAAAAATAAAAAGCAGTAGTTTATAATGGAGTTGCAGTTGTAAAAAGCTCTAAAACTAGAGGCATTAACATCCCAAATGATGCTCTAAGACGACAATAATACATGGGAAAAGAGAGAAGACGATAAAACAGTGGAAATGTTCTACATTTGGGAAAGCTACATAAAGTTCTGCTTGCTCTCAGTCTGCACAGACTTCAACTATACACTGGAGAGGAGGAGAGAGGGGGTCAACGTTTTAAACAGCTAATGAGTGCAATTGACTCTGCTAGTTTCAAGAATTCCTGCATGCCAAGTTCAGTCATGTAGAAACAGATGTGGTTAGAGGATGGGGGATTAAAGAGATTTAATTTATCCAGCCTCTCTCTCTCAGCCAAGTCAGAAAAAATTAGATGTGTAATGTCTTCTGGCAGGAGCAGGCAGTACATTGCCTTGCACTCATTACTCCATGCGGTGAAGAGAATTTCCTGTGTTCACATAGGAAAGAACCTCCCTGCAAATAAACCACAGCACTTCCTAATCACAGAAAAGCAGTGCTCCCCAGGCTGCTGGGTGAGACACTAGAGCAAGGTCCAGGCCACAGCAACCCCCATGCTGAGTGAGCTACACTCCTGTCCTGCCATGGCAGGGTCAGGACCTGCTTTGACCCCATGGCACTGAGAGAGCCATGCTGGGCTGTAAACCACAGCCAGCAACCCTGCAGCAGCTTTCAGCCTTACACACTGATGCAGCAGAACACACAATATGGTTTCATCCAGCCTATGCTGCTAAAAGCAAGCAAGTTTTAACCACACAGTAACTAGCTATCATAGATGGACCTAGGTTTTAACCTGAGAAATGTCTGTATTTATGTATATACACAGAGGAACACATCCTTGTACTTTTCACTCCTTTGAAGTACAATACAGTAGGGATGCTAAAAAAAAAAACAAAAACACCTACTTTCCTTGATTACACACGTACAGTCCTTACAACAGTAAACTTGAAAAGGATTCAGTTTACAGCAGGGCCAATTTATTGGGTTAGTCTACTCCCTTTGCTAGTACTGAGCCAATTTGTACTTTAATGAGTTTTCTTCATTTTAGAAACACAGTAAAACTCTCACTGTACTTCATCCTCCAGAAAAGGCTTCATCATGTAATAAGCGCAGCCTGGATACTGACCTTATGGCACTGTTGAAGATCAGGGGACACTGTGGCTGAAGCAATGTATGAACAGACATATCAGTTAAGATCAAAGACCAATCTAATTTTAGGTCCCCAACAGTAACTGACTACACGTACCTGGGGAAACACTGCACTAGTACCAGTCTTACATAGCATACACTGGTACATGCTTTCCATTTCTGGCAAAAAGCAATTAAGTTTATGGATCCTGCACCAGCTGCTGCATTTGGACCTCCAGGCTTGTTAGCCATCAGTGGATCTATCCTTTACGACTATCTAAAACTGTGTTTAAGACTCCTAAATTCTTGGCTTTCACAATATGTAGCTATGAATTCCACAATGTTTTTAAACACTGCAGTTATTTGTTTCAAATCAGCCATCCCAAAATGCCATTCTTTGCACCCAAGTTTGGACAAAAAAAAAAAAAAGTAATCATTCCCTTTTTCAATCTATTCATAGTTCCACAAGTATCTACTGTAATCTCCCTCCACCTATTCTTTTTCCCAAGCCCAAGAACCTTCATGTAAATATTCAAGCCGACTGTGCCCCTGATCATCCTCACTGCCCTCCTGCAGCACTTCTACACCTTCCACTTGATGGGGCAACCAGAATCACATACAGCACACAAGATGAAGGAACCCAATGGGCTCAGACAATGAAATAACATTTCCTCTTCTATTCTGTTCCTTTCCTAATCATTCAGCTTTTAAACACTGAGGCAAAAGCAGCCTCAGTGGTATGCTTATTAAGCAGAGGGCCATTATCTTCAAGCCAGCCGCTGTCCTGACTGGTAACACAAACCCCACTGCAGTACGAACTGCTGCATTACTCCAGCGTAGCTGGAGCTGTGTCCTCTCCTCCCCCTCTCCTGTTCATTACCCTGCAAGTTCCTACTTTCATAGTGACAACCCTTGGTATCCTCTGCCACAAAGAGATGGAAATATTTTTTTAAAAACTACTCCTAATAGTTCTGTATTACTGAACTTTGTTATCTTGCAGCCCACCTCCCTTTATCAGATACCCTAACCAGTGCAAATCCCAACACAGGTCTCAGCAGCAGGAGGGTCTGAGGGCTAACTTCCTCCCACTGTGAACATTGAGCTTTCCTTTATTCCTCATTTTTCTAACAGTAAAACCACAAGGGCATCTCTGCTAATTACATAAGGGTTTAGTTAATTTAAGAAATGAAAAGCTTGTCTCAAAAACTCGCGTACACTATCAGCTGGATCAGCCACATCTAGGAAATTGCTGATTACTTCAGAAGAATTCTTTTGCAGTTCTTCAGAGCTGTGTCCATCACTCTCCAAAATGCCATATATATATATATATATTATATATATATATTAATATGTCTGCTGGATGCCTGGAAAGAAGATCCGATGTTTATTGCCACAAGCTTGCTGAATGATGTGAAACAAATCCTTTAATCTCCCTGTTCTTCAGTGTGTCCACCTGTCCATAAAATGAGTGTGATACCCTACATAATTGTGTTGCTCTGCTGCTTGCTGTTTGTAATGTACTGTGGGATTCCTCACAAATACAGCTGAGACAGAGAAAGAAAGGTCACTGCCTTACAAGAAGAAAACAGGGAGAAGAGGTATAGAGGGAGAAAAGACAGAAAATACTCAGGCAGCTGTGCACAGCAGAACAAGTAAAGACTCATCTGAATTATCTGATGCCTGTCCAGCTCTGATACACTGTCTAACCTGTAAATTGTTAGCAGCTGGCTTCACAGGGGCTGTTAAACTAGGAAAACCTAGAGCTCCTAGAGTGAGGATCTCCTCCGCCTGCACTGGCATCCCACTTCCCTGTCCATGGAATGCTGCTTCCTTCTCCCCAGCAGCCAGGGCAAAAGGGAAGGGGGAAATGCTCATCACAAAACAGGAACTGAAGGAATAAAAGGCATGGTTTCTGTTGTGCTGTGATTGCCTCTTAGCCCAACACTGCCTGGAGCTCTGCAGGTGCATTCCAAATGATCCAATCTGTAAAGAAGAGTCACAGCACATATTCCTGGTTGCAGCACTTCACGGAGGGCAGGAAAGACATGCCATGGATTGCTCAAACCACCCAAATTTAGGCAAATAACAAGCGTCCCTTGCCTAACCACCCATCAAGAGGGGAAAAAACATCACCAGGTGCATTTCCTCAATAAGTACAGAAGGAGCTTCAGGGACCTACTGATGAGGCTGCATATCTAATATTGCCCTTCCCAGTGCCAGGCAAGATTTATACTGCTGATGGGAAGATACACAGTTCTGCTCTACCCACCTCAGGCAAATCCTGCACAGTGCCCCAAGAACTGGCTGAATTTGAGCCTGGGTGGGACTCCGAGACAGTCCTCCCATGAGCTACCCTACAACTCTGTAAAAGGAAGGTCCAGAGCAAGTGTGCTTAGGAATGACCACTCTGACGGGCTCAAGTTCATGCAGCACCTCACACAGGCTTTCCTCCATCCCAGGCCAAATCCCTGAACAAGCCAGAAAGAAGAGAAACAGGAAGTGGGCATCAGAGCTGGACAGAATTCACTTCTGGAAGCCAAGTCATCAAAGGGCTGCAGCCTCACGTGAGGATACTCCCAGTGCTTCACCAGAGCTTCTCAGAAGAAGACCGCAGACTTTCAGCCTGCTTACTGTGCTTTTAGCGTGACATTTCCAGTCACCAAGATCTACATATTTGTCTCTTGTCTTCTTCCTTCCATTGCCCTCACAGAACATTGCTTTCTGTTGCTTTGTGTCAAGGTTTGCAGGAGAAGGAGGAAGGCAGTTTTACTCCGGCTGCACTCAGGGCATATCCACAGGAACTGTGATTCAATAATCAAATAAAAGATAAGGCCTTTCAGCAGTCTTTAAAGTTTACAAACACATGAACTAAAAACCTCAGAGAACTTTATCAAAATGCAGTATCTACTAATACTTTCAGTTACACTGCAATTAGTAGAACTTTGTAATCAAAACAAGAGAATCCTTATTTGTAAAACAATTTACAACTTAACTCACAATTTACACTACAGTTCAACGTGGGTTCAGTCTTTTCAATAATACAGCTTTCCTAGATCTGTGGTTGGCAGACATGTACACACACAAAAACCTTTAGGTCACTCTGACAGCAGTTTATCAAGATTAACCCCCACTCTTTCATGCCTTCAGCATGAAAGTACCAGCACCTGTTCTTAACCCACAAGTGTCTCCCCCATATGTAGTAAACCCAAAATCAAGTATTTAAATTTACCTTCAATGTCAGCGCTCTGTTGTATTCAGTATGAAATGCACCATCCCTGTCGAACAAGGAGTGGGGAACAGTGTTAACTTACAGTAACGTTGCTGGAAATGATACAGCTGCTCTCCCCACTTCCCACTAACCAGAACAACATTAGCTTGCTGAAGCTACAGACCTCAATGGAGTTCACAGTACAGTAATTTAAAGTGAGAATAAAGAGTAAGGAAAAAGGGAGGACACAGAACAGACTGTAAAGCAAACAGGTTTCTAATAAACAATTTCCTCCCTGACACTAACAAGAGTATTTACTAAGGTATGATCTTTGGAAATGGAGATGCAGCTGCTTAGAGTCTCTTACACTTAACAGTTCTCCCAATCCTATTATTTCCAGGGAGAAAATCTCTTGCTGTTTCACTACACCTGCCTTTCTCCACTTACTTTACAAGTACAGTCTCAAGTCAGACAAACAAGCACACACAGGTGAAGTGGCTTGCCCAACACATATGCCAACAGGCACATGACAGAGAAAGTAAGAGGGCTCAAATCTCAGGCATCAGCCCTGGGCATTGGGCATCTCTTCCAGGTCCTGCTCATGCTTTTAGTTTATTCTGCTCAATAGCAGAATAAATTTATCTCAGCTTCTGACAGAACACATGCTTGCAAACAGAAAAAAACAGCAATCAATTTTACATCTCAAAGGTTTAAAGAAGTAAGTCCTCATGCTGTAGCAGAAGGGAGCTGCAAGGAGAACGGATGGTCCTAGCAGGGGCAACAACAATTAGGAAATACAGACCCCAACCCAGTACTCACTTATAATGGAGTAACTCCACTCCCTTCTCCTTTGAATTAGGATCTACTTTCATCTTCTTGCACAATTTTCGGCTTTCAGTATCACTGCAAAAAACACATATTGAAAGAAAAATCGTTACAAGAAAGGAAATCAAATGCATTCAGTTCTGAAAACTCCTTGCTGTGCTCTCTCATCAGCAGTTAGTTGCAACTAATAGTAATTTGGAAGCTGTTCAGCTACATCTGTGGGACAAGCACTGTGGAAAGCTGCATTAGCCAATTTAATTTTTCCACTTGCTTGGTCAGGACACAGTGAACTGTTAAAACCACATTCCAAAGCCAGGTCCCAACCAGCAGAAAAGTAGCCCATTCTAGCATGTCTGAGTACCTCAGCAGACCTTCTGTCTATTGGATTAACATAAAATTTAGGAAGTCGACTTTTCAAGACAACCATGCTACTGTTAGGGTGGTGATAAAGTCCACTGTTGTGAAAAGATTAGAACAAAAAGAGCAGATCAGCTTTTGTATCTGGCAGAGGATAACTCAAAACCTAAAAGAAACATCTTCATGGTATCTCCAAGACTAAATCAGAAGCAGCTAGCCTTAAAAAGCTCCTGTAGAAACCAAAAGCCAATTCAGATTTTGGAGCCCCAAACCCAGCAATCCCAATCATTCCAAGTATGAGGGATGCATCCTGGAGTTTACCTCCACCTGACAAGTGAGGTAAAGACCTTCTGCCACAGCTCCTGAGGAAGGAGGCACACAACAGCAGACAGACCTTCTGGAGGTGGTTTTCAAATGGAATGAGTGAATTGCTTACAAGTACCAGATTAGGCTGAGCTGAGGAAGAGAGAAGTGTCCTGGGACAAAACTGTATATACATTTGCTTAGGTGGGCAAGTAAAGGGTCTTCATGGCCCAACTGCTGTCCTGAACAATGCAGAAGTGAAGCTATAAGGATACTTCAAGCTGAAGTGAATATGAAGTCAAAGACCTGGGGAGATGAGTGAAACAGTACAACTACAAAGAAAAGAGGATTCTTCACATTGACAAGACTATTCTTTGCACTGACAAATAGCAAGATTAAAAAGCTTGGAAACTTGTTCTCAGCAGAGAACAACTTGTACCTTTTACACAGATAAATCAATTTAGAAAATGAAAACACCGAAACTCCATCAAGTTTAAACTGATTAGAGACACATTAGAGACATCAAGATGCAAGGGTTGCAAGAGCCCCACCAAATTAAGTGCTGCTGCCAGCACTGGTTCCAATTCTCCCAATGTTCTCCAGCTGCCTCTCTGCAACTACGAGGAACAACAAAACAGTAAGTTTGCAGCGTGCTCCAGATGAAAGCATGCCTGTGTGGAAAAATCCCAAATGCTTATTGTAGATGGAAATAAGGTGGGGTGTGCTGTGGACACATGCATCAAAATAAGAATATTATGCTGAAGACAGAAATTAGCATTTTAAGGAACTAACAAAACATGCAACTACCTCACCAAGGAGCACCTGTAATCCCAATTGTATGGAAGCATGTTTGTCTGAAGACTCTTAATTCATGACAATTCTGCATTTACAGATCATACCCAAAGCTAGTCATTGTAACCCATAAATGCTTTCTTTGCTTCTCCAGTTGGCAGGAGATCTCAGCCTGAGAAGACTTGTTCTCCTCTTGTCTGCTGCACCTTTGTTTAGCCCAGACAGCAGCGGAAGGTGGAGCCGAAACATGTCATCTGTTCATAGAATAATGTGAACATCTCTCCCTGTAACAAAACTTGGTTATAAAACAAATAGCCTGGAGTTGGAGTTTTTTGGCAAAAAGCTAGTTTGCCATGTGGATTCTGTACAGAAAGTCTTCAGCAACATCAAAAACATGGGCCAGAAACATCCTGCCTTCTCTCACCTGCAGTCCTCCAACAGTCCCACAGGCTAAGCATAAGCAACTCAAAGGTCATGGAGTCTCTGAAGGCAGCATCAGTTTCAGATCATCCTCCCACCCTACCCCAGACAGATCTAGAGAAGCCCTTGTGGCCCTGCTGGAGCCGATGGCCAGACAGCAAAATAAAGTCAGCCTGCATCACACTCAACATTTGTAAATGCTTTCCCAGGCATTCCCAGGATAAACATATATTTGTGGCCATCTCAGCCTTGCCAAGACAAATGTTAGGTGCTTGATGGGAACAAGTGTAATGTTGAAACCTAACTCCAGCAACACTGTCAAACCCCAAGACGTGCAGACAATCATTCTGGCATCAGCAGAGGGCCAAAATGGGTATCAAGACAATTCTGGTGTCAGTTCTGCCACCAGTTTGGTGTAACTTCAAACCACTTGGGGGAAAGTGTAATTCTTCCTTACCTGTCATTTAGAGATCCAGATACTCATCTTAGAAAAGTTCAGCAAGGTTTACAGTGGAAAAAGGCTACAAGACATTACTTCTAAAATGTAACTGTGAGCAAGCAGAGAGTAACTCCTACCAATTAATTTTCTGTTTGCAAGAGGTTCTATTAAAAAGTAAAGAAAGATAAGAACAGCTGTTTCATCGGGAGGAAACAGGATCTAAGCCTGCCTTGCTTTCAGGATTGCTCCATTTGTAGAGATTCACGTAGCTGCCTGAATGCACATCCATTATCACAGGAAAAAGCAGCACTTTGCTCCACTATGTCTCTTGCCATTTAATGGGCAGATTCTCTGCACCGCTGCATTAGGAGTTGAGCCTGTTTATGCAAGCTATCTGCACTGATGCAAGAGATAGAAGAGGAGCAAATTCCCAGAATAGGAAGTATCTAAATATGTATCAGTAATTTTTTCATGCATCAGTGCACATTTTTGCACATGCCAGACTCACCAGCTCAGATGCTCTACTAATGATTCTTTGGAAAAAGCAGACAAGGAGACGTACAGAAATAGCAGAGATGGACTCGTTCTGCTTTCCCTCACAGCCAGACAAAAATAACCTGCGAAGAGCAACCTGCTCCGGTATCACTTGGTAATGACCATTATCCTTATTAAGAGTAAATATCAACACAGATGCAGTCTCTGCTCTGAGATTTGTCTCTTTTGGATCTCGGCCAACAGCCTCTCTCTGAAGATGAGCTCCTCAGCTCTCACATGGGAGAGGATAATTAGGACTCTGGTTCTTGCAATTTGATTATACCACTTGAAGAGGCAGTGTAAGAGTTTGTTAAAAAGACTAAAAGAAAGGAAAAAAAAAAAAGGGTGACGGGAGGGGAGAGAAACAAGAAACCAAAACCTAAGAAGCCAGAAACCACCTCCAAAATCAGCACTCGACCACCCAGGCCAAGACACTCCAGACAGACACCAGGCTGAGGAAATACTGGGTTTAGGATGAAGTTAGTAGTGTGTCCCCAGCAGCCATCTTTGGCTGTCGCCTGCCGTTTCTGTCCAGAGCAATTTGAACCCTTGAAGGTCCCTGCTGTGCTACTGCTGAAAGGACCCCTGCCTCATCTGAAGGCAGATCTACAAATGATCCAGCTTTATCTCCATGGAAAATCATTCAAAACATCAACCTATTTGTAACATCACAAAGGACCTATCCAGCAGCTGTCCATGTGGTAATAAGGTCAAACTTTAAAAGGCAGGATGACGTGGCTTCCTTCCACTCCCACAGGCATATTCCCTGTGCTCCACCTTCCCATGAAACCAAACCAGGGTTCCAAAATGCCCCTTTGCTGGAGAACTGAAGACAAATGGCAACTTGGTAAGAAGAATGATAAAATTAAAGATCCTAGTAGACCTAACCAAGCAAGAAGTCTAAACAACAAAGTGTGCATTGCAGGAATACTTCACCCCTTCCCATGCACATCCCCATCTCCTCTACTGGGAGGCACTTATGTCATTCAGAGTTACGCTGGGGCTGGCAGGACGCCCAACTGGAGCGCTCCCTGCAAAGCTCTGGGGAGCCCTGTCAGTATCAGCATGCACCAATGATCACTTTGCACAGGCAGCCAGCTGTTACCCAGGCAGGAGGAGGCCAAGGGCTTGTGAAGATCTGACCTCCTTGGGCTCACCACCAGTGAAGCCAGCACCTGAAAGGGACATGCCACGGGCAGTCCTCAGGAGCGGCACAGGGTACAGAGCTGCCCACGGGCCTGGGAGCTCATGGTCATAAGGATGGAGAAGCAGTGACAGATACTGAGGCAGTCCTCAGTGGCAGGAGCAACCTAGAGAAAAGCTTTTGCAGCTAATGTGCCAAGGTAATTTGGAGAGAGAAAAAAAACAAGGGCAAAGCTGGACATGAAGAACATGAAATAAGATCCAGGAGTTTGGCTGTTATAAGTCCACACTGGTTTCTAAACATAAAACAAATTCAAGCTGCAGGGGTCCAAAAGAAGAAATAGTGCATGGAAGTGGCAGGGCAAAACACCCTCCTTGGGGCTAATTCAAACGTTGTCCTGGCAGGTCCTGATGGCAGCAAGGTAAGACTGAACGTCCTCAGCAACATCCTCTTTCATGAGGACAAATAAGACCTTCTACAGCTCCCTAATTATTTGCCTTATCACATAATGCTGCCCATTAGCTTCTCATCAGGAAGGGAAAAGAGCCCTGCAAACACATCAGCCTCTGGGGAGAGAGGATATGGAGTGACTGTCAAATCCCCTCTTCAGAAAAGACAAAAAATGTCATCCAAAAAAAGTTCCTGTCTCCAGCTGCCAGTATAGTATTAGAGTGTGCCTGGGCTGTGTAGCCACACCACTTTGATGCCACAGTGCTGGCACCTACTAACACTTTACAATAGACTGGACTCAGCCTTCTTGTTCAACCATACATAGTGTTTCCAGGCACAAGTAAATAATAACAACACTAACAAGCACCTATTTAAGTAATCAGGTCAGTAAATCTGCCTGCACAAAACCCATCTCACTCCTCTATCAGCATATCTTGTAAACACATGTGAACCACAGACCTCACAATCTGTAAACAGATTTTATCTCTCCTATCTGTATATATCTGATACGGGGTTCAACAATCCACATAAATCATGCTTCAGCAGTCCCTTATATCACAGCTGTGTGTCCTGGTTCCATGTAAAAAG